TTGAAGGAAGACCAGAATTTTATTTAAAAACATTCTGAAGTCAATTGTAATATTCATGAGCAGGTTCATTAGATTTTTGTGTGCAAGTCTGAATTTTGTTCAAATCGAATTTCCCGTTTTGGAAAAGCCCTAGGAATTGCTCGATGAAGTCATCTGGCAATTGCCTGAGCCTAATCATAAAATAAGTTAGCGCGCTGGTTTCTCAGTTGTAATTCTAGAGCTCTTTCAGGACTTTCCCAATTAGCAGTTTTCATCCAATGCTGGACCTGGCCTTTACCAACAAGCATATACCAACTAGCTGATATTAATCAGAGAAACCAGGTTGATACACTTGAATGGCTATATTAAATTCCTCAGCGAATCTGTGTAAAACCTTCAGTTACTTTGGAAAAATCTTTGGTGGCTCGCAGTTCAGCTTTAGTCCAGAGAATATCAAGAAATTAAGCTTTTAGCCTCGATCCTCAGAATGCTAAATTTTAAAGCAACAGGTACTGACAAGTGCAGAGAAAAAGGGAGTAGGGAGAGTTTCAGAGAAAGGGGGAAGTTTGGTGAGAGAATTAGTATGGGGATGGTGGTAAAAAAGAGGAAGACGGAGCTGTGGGAAACAAGAAGGGGCCAGAGGCAGAGCCTGAGACAAAGAAGCCAAGGAAGAAGAGCCTGAGGCTTCAGGAGCCATTTTACCTTTCTTTAATCATTTGTCTGCCTCAGTTAATCTTAAAGTCTTATTTTGCAGAAGCAATTTTAGACTCCTGATAATTTCAGAAAGCCTCAAAATACCCATAGAAATAAGCATTCCACTCAATTGTAAATTTTTGAGCTATTGTAGTCCAATTCTGTTTTAAGAATATTAAGTTTGGGGATTTCAAAAGTTCCCCATAATGATGATTGATATTCTCAATTGCCTTTGGTCAGGTCAGTCTATTTAATTAGAAGTGCACAAGGGGAAGGACCTTGGGTTTTTTTTTAACATCTTTATTGGAGTATAATTGCTTTATAATGGTGTGTTAGTTTCTGCCTTATAGCAAAGTGAATCAGCTATACATATACATATATCCCCACTCCTCCCTCACCCTCCCCTTCCCACTCCTCTAGGTGGACACAAAGCTGATCTCCCTGTGCTATGCAGCTGCTTCCCACTAGCTATCTATTTTACATTTGGTAGTGTATGTATGTCCATGCCACTCTCTCACTTTGTCCCAGCTTACCCTTCTTCCCCCTCCCCGTAGGACCTTGGTTTTAAACATAAAATTGGCTAAAGTCCCTGTAGAGGGTGTGCCCTCAAAATACTTAGATAACTGGGATCTCATTTTCTAGGTGTTTTTCCTCTAGAGTAAAGAACAATTTTCAAACAGTTTAAACAGCTTACAGCACAATAGGTTCAATTCAAACAGCTTGCAAGCTCATCCCAGCCAGTCTTAAGAAGACAGCTTGGTCCCTGAGGAGCCAGGACAAAGGCCCTTCCTCCCTCCCTTCCTTCCCTCCCTCCCTCCTTCCTTCCTCCCTCTCTTCCTCCCTTCTTTTGCCATTCTCCAGAAAACAGCCCTTCCAGAGGAATGGGCTGAAGGCTAAACCAGCAGTTTCATTTGAAGCAGCCCCTTCCCAAAGAAATTGGGCCAAAGTCATTTTCAGCTCACTTCAGTTGAAACATTCTGATCTCAAGATCAGACCAAAGTGCCAAACGAGTACTCAAAACAAGGCCTTACCGAGAAAGATGAAACCTTTAAATAAATCCCAAACAAAGCTGGAGAGCTTCAAATGCAAAAAGGGAGTGAGCTCAGATCCTGGAGGAAAGGGGAAAGTCCTCTCCTTTGAAGAATCCAGCTAATAAAGGAAAATCTCCACTCTGTGTTCTCTAGGTCAGAGGGTCAGAAAGCTACAGTTCTGGGAACAAATCCAGTCTAGTACCTATTTCTATAAATAAATTAAAATATAGCCACCTCATTGGTTTATATATTGCCTATGTTGGCTGCATTCACGCCATAAAGGCAGAATTGGGTAGTTGTTAACAGAGACCATATGGCTATAAAACCTAAAATACTTACTACTAGGCCCTTTACGTAAAATGTTTGTCAATTCTTGCTTTAGGCCAGGAACATAATTGCTAGTGACCTGCAGTTCCTAAGCTATGAGGTTACCACAGGGAACTCACAAGGACTTCACAGAGTATTTTAAATTTTTGAGGAAAACAGCAACATCTGTCAGACACCATGTGAACGGTTGAGGTACTTCACAGTTTCAACATTAGATCAAGTTAATTCTTTTGGCTAACGTATCTTTTCAAAATTGAGTTTTCAGCAATTCCTATGATCTCAAGCAAGTGCTGTGCAAAATCCAATGTGGAAGAGGAAATGGAGACAGTGATGTCCCATCTGATTTCAAGGTTTGAGAAGTTATGCAGTGCCCAATAGGTGTATACACCCAATTAGTAAGCAATTGTGGTTATTAAAGAATGAAATAAAATCTTTTTCTTTCAATTTCCATATATATTTAAATAAACACATATTAATTTGTTTGGACCTAACCACTTAGTAAACAGAAACTAAGGACACTGAGAAAAATTTACTCAGACACTAAGGGTGACACAAACCTCTGATCTAGAAGATGATCATCAATGGCTACTGATCATCAATGACTGGTGAAAAGCTAAAGGCGAACTTTGTAAGAGACAATATTTGAGCCCACTGAATAGTCTTAATATCACAAATGAAAGAATTCCAGAAATGTGCTTCCTGATGTGATGGGAAGTCTATAACACCAACTATAAATGCTTGATTTTAAAAATCAAGTTTAAATGTGATCAAGCTTCTAGACTTAACTACCAGTCAGCTAATTCTATAAAGTCTGTATTCTTTGCTGTGTGACCACTCTGTTCCATTAGCTTAGTGGTCAGCTAGTGATTTAGCAGAGATATCTTTATTAAATGCTTATAAGCAAAAAAGAAAAAGAAAAAACCAGCCAAAATGCAAAAAATCTCTCCCAGTCTTTGTCAGCTAGCTGTGTGTTGGGGCACTCCTTCAATGCTTAGCAGGATACTTTACATTTCTGCATTAGCCTTCACTTCCTGCTTGTACAGAGTCTGAAAGTCAGCCAGAAGTGAGAGCTTAGGGTCTTCTCAGGTCTTTTCCGAGCATGGGTCCAGACCAAGGCATGCATGTGGCCTTCTGGATTCCCCAGAAGAGGAGGAAGCTTTTCAAGAAAACCCTTATACCAGGACTTCCCTGGTGGCACAGTGGATAAGACTCCATGCTCCCAATGCAGGGGGCCTGGGTCCATCCCTGGTCAGGGAACTAGATCCTGCACGCATGCCCCAACTAAGGAGCCCACCTGCTGCAACTAAGATACAGCACGACCAAATAAATAAGTAAATATTTAAAAAATAGAAAACAAAAACCCCTTATTCCCCAAGTATCTGCTTCCCCAGCCTCTTCCTTCCTAGGCTTTTTGGCCTGTTTATTGTTTGTCCCAACTGTTACACCGTACCCTGGTGGCAGTGGCTAATACATTTGCTTTAAACTCTTTTGACAATCCTGCCTCAGCCCTGGGAGGCTCCAAGGCTGGAGAAACAAAGGTAAGCCCTTGAGCCAAACCTTCAGGACACCACCAGATAGTTCAAAACACAAAATTACAACTCCTTTAGAATAAGGTCCATATTACTCTCTGTGGTACCAGCAACCTACACCAGGAATGTGGGCTGCTGTCCTCAAGGCCACTGGCAAGCTAGAGATAATCACAGAGATTTCTTGCCAAAATTCAGCAGTCTTTTCTTAAGTGTTCCCCTGGTTGTTGTGCGTTTTTTTATTAGATTCCAGAGTTCCAAAAAAAGCTGATTCTGACAGTTTCACCAGGTTATTCGTTGCTTTTGTGGAGGGAGAGTTTTCAAGTTCCCTATTCAGCCATTTTCGCTGACGTCATTCCATACCATCTACTTTCGTGCTTCTCAGCCTTACCTAAAAATACTTTCTCAGCCTGGAAAGCAGAGAAAGAAGAAAATTTTGCCACCATTGCAGCTATCAAAAGAATGTACTGTTGAAGGCAGGCTAAAAAGCAGTTGCAAAAGTTTTTTAATAAGGACACCATTAGCAAAATAACTTTTATCTGCCTTAAAGGCAATATTCATCACGTTACCTGCCTTGCATTTGTCAAACCCTCGATAATAGAGGCAGAGTTTGAGAGCATAGGCTTTGGAAGAAGACCTCAGTTTGAATTCCAGATCTTCTGCCACTTGATAGTTGTTTGGCCTTGGGTAACTCTTAAAATTCTCTAGGGCTGTTTCCTTATTTGTAAAATAGGGATAATATACACTTCTAGAATCATGGTTAAGACTTAATGAGATATTTTATGTAAAATGCTTGGCACTTAGTTTTAACTATTTGTTAAATTTGGTTTCTTTCATTTGGGATTAACACATTACACTAACATTGTTGGATTTTTCCTGGTTGTTTTGCTTAAAAAAAAAAAAGCCACGGGCTTCCTACGTAAGAAGAGCTGAGGTATTGCCATATGCTTTTCAGAGACTTACCTTAAGCTGACTTTTTATAACAAGCACACCAATTTTCCTTAGACTGTATGTTTATTTGGGGTGGCTGTCGGCGAAATTGTTAGGGATGGGGAGAGGGTGCTTAAAATCCTACCAAAGCCCCTCTTTTAGCCTAGTGACTAAACTGCCAACACGTAAAAAACAAAAAACAAACCTAAATGTCTAGACAAGGGAGAGAAAGTGCCAAATCTAACAATTTTTTTTTTCAAACCAGCTTCCCTTGGTGTCCACAGGGTGCAAGCACGTGATGAGAGTACAGAGCACCAGCGACAACAGCCTGAGATGACAGACAGATAATGGGATGTCAGCCCTAGATGGAAATGTCACATCAGCCCTTTCCCAGGTGGCCTCCGGGGTGGTAGACTGCAGGAGATCGCGTCCCTCCTCTTAGATGGCTTAAAGGCAGGCAGGCAACAGACTCTAGCGCAAACGTCTGGCTGCAGATAAAACGCGATTAGCTCACCTGCGCCGCCCTTTCTTCCGAAGCCGGAGGGCTGGGCTCTGCGGCGGGAGGCGTGTTGGCTGTCGCAGAGCCCTCTGGGAGTTGTAGTCCGCGGCGGCGGGAGGTTTGACTGCGGCGGCCGGCTTAGCGCTCTCAGAACTGCATCCCCCGCTGGCCCCCGCGGCCTAGGCCGTTGCCTTTTCCTGTTCAGGGGACAAGAACCCTTGCTGCAGCAAGTTGAGAAGTTTGGGGGAGGGGTGTCCTCCTTCCTGCCGAGCTCTCTGAGATTAAGGGCTCGGCCTGCTCAGGTAGAGGACGTTCCGGGCCTTGCAAACTCATCTCCCGGGAGGGAGCGGAGGGAAAGGGGGGACAAGGCTGCTAAGGCTGAGCTTCCGACGGAGTCGGCTGTTACCCGGGGAAGTTCTTCAGGGAAACGCCTCGGAACTGTGGCTTCTTGCGGAAGCGGTGAGGCCAAAGCCGGGGCCCGCGGAGACCGGTCCGGAGAGGCAGCGCGCGTTCCTAGAGGTCTCGGGTGAGAGCAAGTCAGGGCCGCCGTCGGGGGCTGAGAAAGAACTCGAGGGGCTGTGGGAGTCGGTGTCTGCCGGACCTTAGGGAAAAGGCAGGGTTACCGTGGGTGAACACCCGAGTGAGAGGAGGAGAATTGGGGGAATTGCGGGAATGGGAGCGCCCTTTTCTATCCCGAGTAGGAGAGAGCTAGAGAGGGGAGGTGGGGAGGAAGCTCCATTGGTGCCTTGAGCTAGGACCGCAGATGGGGTGAGGGCTGAGACAGGGAAGTCCTCGTCACGGTTTTCCCCCGGCTCGACTGTGAGAGACAGTGACCACAGTAGGTGGCTTGACATCTTCCTGTCTTAGAATAATAGAGCTGGAACGGGCCTTTGAGAAAAGCTAGTCAAGCGCATTCTCTCATTTTCCAGATGAGGAAACTTAAGTCCACCGAGTTGAAGAAACTGGCTCGCTCACTACCAGGCAACCGGTTAATGGCCAGCTTGACTAAAACCTAATTTTCATGACTCTCAAGCCATGCCGTAATCTATTGCTGAGATCAGTAGATTAGCAAACTTTAGAACTTGTTCCCCCTCCTTTTATCTTTTTACTGCTTGTCATATGCAGGGTAACTGGCAGCCCCTGAAGGGAAAGGCTTTACACTTTGCAGTAGGTCAAAGAAACCCTTGTTTTAACTTGAACAAAAATCTCCTTGCCTCACAAACAACTACAAACTTCATATTAAGAATAAAGGTTGGTGGCAAGCTAAGATGTCACCTATAGCTTCTTTGCCTCGAAGAAAATAAAGTTCACCTTTCCTTTCCCACTGTATGCCCACTAGAGCTCTGAAAACATTTAGCCTTAGATTTCTTCTGTCTTAAATGCTGCATATCTCAGTTACATACTTAAAAATAATGCTGTTTATTGTGATTTTTATAATACCCTAAATAGTTACAATAAAGGGTAAACAGCATAGGAGGATGGGAATACCTGAATTACAAATTAAAATAATGATTTATAGTATTTTTTAAGAGATACGAGCATAAAAGTAAAGAAAAAAAATTAAGAAGATAAAAATTTCTAGCAAGCCAGCATTTTATAATACACTAAAATTTCAGTACTTGCCAGTATTCTTTTTTTCCTACTGCCTAAACATAACTAGAGCATTTAGTGTTCCCAGTGTGAGAGGAGAGGTTCTTTGGTGCCATTGCCTTGTTCTGACTGCTAATTTCTTTATTAAAACACATTGTCTTCCAGCACTGTCAAATTTAACACCTTTTGAAGGATTTATTGATCAGATTGGAAGCATGTTCCAACTGTCACATCAGAATTTGAATATTATGGCTCCTATTGGCTCACCATTAAGCAATTCATAAGGAAGAGGTTTAGATAAAGTTTGTTACTGGACTTTATAGAAGTTACAGACTTACCTAGAAGAACATACATATACATAACTGCTTTCACCAGGCTGCCTTTTTAATGATATGGTTCCAATTGCTTTTATATTGGCATACTACAGAGGTGGGTAAACTATGACCAAATTTGGCCACTGCCAAATGTATTTACTTTTTATATGGTTTTACTGGAACACAACCATGCTTACTCATTTATATATTGTCTTTTGTGCTACAGGCAGAGTTTGAGTAGTTGCAGAGACCATATGGCTGGCAAAGCCTAAAATATTTACTATCTGGCCCTTTACAGAAAACAAATTATCAACCCCTGGCCTGGTGAACTGAATGTAAATATAGTATCTAAAACTCTACCATTTGCAGAGGCATTAGTTAATAGTAATTTTCACTCATAAATACTTGTATGGTGGGTTCATAATCCATTTCTTTGGGCAAAAGCTAGTACCTCCTTATTGCAGATTGTCGCTAGCATCTTGGCATATGTACTATAGGTTTGCTTTTGCAAAGAATTGTCAAAGAAAGTTTCTGAACCTAGTGTGGAAAGGGCTGACATTCTTTGAGATATACTGATGCTCACAGTTAATAACTTTTAAAAATAACATTTAGGAGCTTCCTTTGGTTGTTCTCTATGTTCTTTTCATGGAGATAAATGCTTCAGCATAAGCACCAGCAAACAAGTTAATAAGCTGTTTTCATATTGAGACCCCATACTAAAACCAATCTTAAAATAAATGATAAGGGTCTTTTTTTTTTTTTGCCGTACGCGGGCCTCTCACTGTTGTGGCCTCTCCCGTTGCAGAGCACAGGCTCTGGACGCCCAGGCTCAGCGACCATGGCTCTCGGGCCTAGGTGCTCCGCGGCATGTGGGATCTTCCCAGACCCGGGGCACGAACTGTATCCCCTGCATCGGCAGGCGGACTCTTAACCACTGCGCCACCAGGGAAGCCCAAGGGTCTTATTATTAAATGACTTATCTTTGACATTAATAATCTTGCATCTGGGACTTCAATGTCTTAAAGATCAGAGGATTGAATGAAATAGAAGTGAATATATCTGTTTAAGTCATTTTTTTGTATTTAACTCCCTATATTAGTGTTAGTCTGTGGCAAATTAGTGCTTAGGAATATTTAAAATTTTACTTAATCATTGATAGCACTATTCTGTGTTACCATCTAAGTAATATTAGCTATGAAACTCCAATTCACCTCTCAACCTAATTCATCAAACTTCAGTTTATAGTTCTCAAGACTTTCAAAAAGGTATTAAATTTCCTTCGAAACAGCATTCTGGGGGAATTTGAAGTTCAGGTTACTTGACTAATTGAGGCAACTGAAAATGATCAGTTTCCTTACAGTTCTTCATATTTACTTGAATGTTAATAAATCTTTGAAAGGCACTAGGAACTTTGGACTCATTCATGATTTATTTTGAATCATTGAAATATCATCAGTTTTCTGCTTGTTTGGAATAAAAAGCTAATTTGACAATGCCATAAAATTTCAGATTTGCTCAGGACAAATACATGTATGTGATTAAACTGGAAACTTTATGTCAATTCCTGAATGTCCTTCGTATTTTCCCCAACCTTGATTATCACTTTTTGTTAAGGCTGACTGAAATCTAAGAACCTTTCTAGATTTTCCTCTTTTCTGGTTTCCTAACATTCAATATTCAGTGAAAGTATCATCTCCAGGGCATAAAAAATCCTGTTTCTAAACTCAGCCACATTCTCAGTTTAGTTTAAGAACCAATACAGTGGAGAGTATTGGTTAACAAAGTAAGTCAGAAGTGTAGCCGTTTTTTTCTGCCATTGTTTAAGCAGGTATCTTTTTTCCTACTCTGACTTGGCTATTGACGTTTCCTGTGTTTCACTGCTGCTGGAAGGATTATTGCTGTCCAAGAAAATATCTAGCCTTGAGACAAAGAAGTTTGCATCAAGAGAAACAAATTCATCTAAGCTAGTTTGCTTCAAGAAAACTGTGTTGTTTTAAATTTGTAATCCAGATACTTGGGCATATATCTTCACTCTTCTAGTCCTAAACTTTGTTTTAAAGAGTTTAAGGCCGTTTGTCATTCTAGGTATTACTGCTTTTTTGTTTCCGAATCTGAACAGGACCTGATTTTCAGAGGCTTCTTTTGTCTTCCAAATAGCCTGCCTCCTTCTTTAAAGCAGACATCCCACTATAGTGGGAAATAGCATTTGGGATCAAAGTGGCCTGGTTTCATTCCCAATTGTGGCTTTATTAGTTACGTGATTTAGGACAAGTTATTTCTGAGCTTCATGGTTTTTTATTTATTTATGTTTTTTGTATCAATAATTTGAAGGTAATACCTATTTCCCAAATCCTAAAGTATTAGATGCAATTAAACAACATGTAAACATTAGGCCAGTAGTAGGCATTCAATAAATTAATGTTAGTTCCATCTTCCACTACCTTTCTATTGACTTGTCTTTTTCTCTGAGTTTTTCTCCAAAGTGACACTGTTTTGTTCTTCAGAAATGAATTCTTTCCCTTTAGGTCTATTCTGTTTGTGACAGTTCAGTAATTCTATGAAGTTCAATTTCTTTATCTTTCTTACCTCACTGGGTTTACTCACTTTATGCTAAAGACATATGTCAGCTGATTTTATTCAGGCCACTAAATTAAGCCAAAATATAATTTTGCTAGTTACTTTTAAAGAACTAAATTCATAATAAAAATGATAGCTGTGTTTATTGAGCACTCACTGTGGACCGGTCACATTATTATGTGCATTATCTCATTTAAATCTCAAACCAAATTCCCTTAGGAAATTTAAGTAAGTTGCCCCAAGTCACACAGTAAATCCAAGGATTTAAATCCAAGCAGTCTTATGTGAGCTATCAACCACCACATTCTACTTAATAGAATCAGAATAGGCCGTATCCCAATTTAACCATTGTGTATAATTCAAACAAATGAATACCTTCTGAAGGTGGTTTCATCAGTTTTTGTAGATTTAAGAGCAATAAGGGCTTCCATGGTGGCGCAGTGGTTGAGAGTCCGCCTGCCGATGCAGGGGACACGGGTTCGTGCCCTGGGTCTGGGAAGATCCCACATGCCGCGGAGTGGTTGAGCCCGTGAACCATGGCTGCTGGGCCTGCGCGTCCGGAGCCTGTGCTCTGCAACGGGAGAGGCCGCAACAGTGAGAGGCCCGCGTACCGCAAAAAAAAAAAAAAAAGAGCAATAAGGTTCTGCCTGCTTACCAATATTAAAAATTTTCTCTAGCATTTCTTAGCAATTCTGTTTATGCCTTTTTCCTCCCACAGTATAACAGTTTCATTAAGCTCATTTCATTAAACTTAGTTTAAGTTCACAAATAATAGTAGCAAACTCCTATATAAAGTTCAGTAGTGCTTGGAATAGTTCCAGATGTTTACACATTAATTTATAGGTTATTTTATGTGCTTTAGATTTTCTTTTATAAATTTCCCCCAAGTTCTTTAAGTTATTCTTTTTGATGAAAGGGTACTGGCTTCCTGACAGTCCACTTTTCAATTTCTAAAATACTTAATTTTTTAAATTGAGATGATATTTTTAAAACTCTCTAAAGTTAATAACTTCTCTACTATATGTTTAT